AAAACAAACAAAACAAAAAACAAAAAAACAACCCCAAACCAATGATCTGTTAAATGGGGAAGAAAGATGTAGTAAAAAAAATTTATAGCAGCTGTTTCCAGGTGGGATTTGGGTGATTATTTTATTTTCTGTAGTTTGTAAATTATCCACAATGAGCATACATTACTGACACTTGGGGAAATTAAGTTTAAATTAAACATGTCAAGTTTCGATCATGGATAGAAGCAGAAATATTTTAAATAAGAAGAAAAAAGTCATCTCATATGAATGAGCAAATAATGAGTATAAAGTTTCAAAATAATTGATGAGAAACAAGGTTTTGTTGTTTGTCCCTCGACTTAGCTGTTCAGTGGCATTAACTTTTCTGTGATTTGGATGCTACTGAGTGTTCTGGAAATGGCTAATCACAAACTGATCAGTGTCTCCAAATTGAAAAATCAACTTTTCAGGCAAGAACAAGAGGAAACAATTTGAGGTTGGTGAGCATTTTAAAATAATATGAAAATAATATGATTTATAAGAAGAACTAAAATAATAGTTGGGAAAGGTAAAGAAATGACTACCCAGTGCTATAAATTTTATTGTTTGAAAAGTGATCTTTAAAATTTGCTAAATTCTCCAAGGAAAACATATAACGTTGAGTTGCAAAATAATCTAAAAGAAGGTTATAAAGCTAATTGAATCAGATGTTCCCTTGGGTTTGTAAGAGAAGAGTACCTTTCCTAGTCTCACCCTCCTGCATGAGACTCATGAAAGAGGAGCCCACAGACTCCACAGTGTGAGAGGCTGGGCAGCCTGGCTGAATGCTTCTTCCATCCACTCCTAAACTCACAGGACTTTAAACTTTAATGTTTAATCTATAATAGCTGTTAAACTTCCTTTGTATAAAATAATATATGCCAAACCCTACTTTTTTATGTTGAAGATTATTAATTATAGAAAAACGAATAATATAAAAAGATAGGAAATAACCTATATGTCCAATAATTGGGGATTGGTTAAATTATGGCATATAAATACAGTGATTATGTGCACCGTGGATTATAAACTTAAATGCCTACAGGGACAAGGTAGGTAACACAAATGAGTGCAGTGGGCCTGTGTTGGGAGTTGGGAGCAACCGAGATTGACGATTTGAAGGAAGGAAGATAGTAACTATTTGATTCCAGCCATGTTGGCCTTGTGGAAATGTCGGCCCAGTGATGCTGGACCTTCCTATTTTCGAAAACTTTTCATTTGTAAATAATTTTAAATTTACAAAATGTTGTAAAAATAAGACATAATAAAAGAATACCTATGCCCTTTACCTATATTCTTTTATTTGTTTGTTAACACTGGAGTCCACTTGAATTCTCTCTCTATATACACATGTACACACACACACACAATTTTTTGGTATATTAAATACATCATGGATCTTTACTCCTAAATACTCCATTGTGTATTTCCTACAAATAGAAACCTGAAACCTGCTATTTTTGAGCTAGGATGAAGAGAGGGCATGAAAGGTTTTCTCCCCCTGGCCACTAGGAGATGAGTCAATTAGCTGCCACCACCCCCAAACAGAGCTGTAACACCAAACAAATGCTGAAAACCATTGTACTAGACAATTATCATTCCATCTGTAAAAACAATACCTCCAATATGTATATATTTATTTATAAATTGGATATATGTACAGATCTACTAATATATTCTATACCTTATAAAACATATACTTTAAAAATGATGAGATAAAATTAAATTCAAATACAAGATTCAAAGTTTTCTGCCTGCACTCCAAGGAAGCACCTCTCACCCCCTAAGGCACATGCCTCCCCACCCTGGGGCCGTTGCTCTGCACTGTGGAGCCTAAACAGGAAAAGGACCATGGCTATTTCCAAAGCTCAGTCTGCTCCCTGGATGTTATCTCCTTAACATCTGCTAGCTCTCGCCAACACAACATACTATTTTATTGTTTTCCTAGTTCCTATCACCACCAGAAGTCATCTTGCTTATATATGTGTTCACTTGAATGATACTTTCTCCCCATTCTAGAATACAAGCTCCTTGAGAACCAGGATCTTGCCTGCCTTGTTCATTCCTAATTTCTAAGCACCTCGAACAGGGCTAGGCACATGGTAGGTGCTCATTAGATACTTATTAATGAATGGAACTGAACAAGTCCCTGGCTTCTATTCCAGCTCTTCCCCCCTGCTTGGGCCTCCACTCTTCTAGCTGGCAACAGGGCAGGTCCCCTGATCCCGGGCTGAAAGCTAACAACACCCTCATCTACTTCTAAACAAAGCCTCTCAGCTATAAAGACCTTCCAGAGAGGTGAGAGGCTGGGGAATCCTTTTCTTCATGTAAAACACAGGCCCACAATCTCAAATCTAGAACTTAAAAAATGATATATAATTATAATATCTCTAAAGGCACTTTAAAAAAAACAAAACATGCATTTGTAAGCTGAACTATCATTTTAACACAAAGCTATCCTTCTTACTCAGTCGAGTCAAGCTGTTCTTGGTGTTTCTGTTCTAGGAGGAAAAAGGGGAAGGTGTGCAGGTACCTGATGGTTTCCCACACGTCGAAGCCATCTAGGGGTTTGGTGCCTTTGGTGTGCCCCCCGGCCAGCTTCACGAGCGTCGGCAGCCAGTCAGAGACGTGGATGAGCTCCCGGTTCTTTACGCCCTTCCGTCTCAGCAGGGGGCTTGCCACGAAGCCCACCCCGCGGACACCTCCTTCCCACAGGCTCCATTTTCTTCCTCGGAGGGGCCAGTTATTGCCCCCCGCCAAAGTCTGCCCTCCGTTATCTGAAACACAAGTGGGTCTTGGCATGAGGATGGTGCTAACTCTCAAATACATTTAAGAACAGAGGCTTCTATGTATGTTGTTACTGAATGGTACTTAAAGAATAAAAAAGAAAACTCCTTACCTCTCCATGCTAACTACCCTGTCCCACCTGACACTGCTGTCCATCCCATAACCATAACCTGGGTCCACCGTGGCACGGATCTGATACGAGACCTTTAAATCCTCCACGTATAGAGCCACTGGAAAACAAGGCCGTCCCCTGATGGTGTGTGCTTTGGAGAGATCCCTGTGCCCGGCAATTGACTACGTCTCAGATGTGTGTGTGTGACTTTGTATAGCACAGGAGAATGAGTCCGTGGCAGCTGGGGCCCACCCGCACATTAAAAGAAAACTTGGAGCAAGTTTCACTTAGTGACTTCAAGCTCCTGGTAAGTGGGGACAGCAAACCTTTTTATTTTTCTCTTAGAAAAATCTTCCAGCATTTAAACTGGTAACTGAATTAACATTCTGCTCCCTGGTGAGCTCAGCTTTCTTAAGTGTGAAAGTTGAAGATTTCTCTAGCGGTTTATACATGTCTCTGTAAACAGAGCAGTCGGGTGAAAAAATTCCTCCCTTTTTGACAGGATGGCAAGATAAAGCTTCATCGTGCGCAATGCCAGGGAAGAGAAGGTTTCTCTTCCAAGACAACAGAGGGAATGGTGGACACAGCGTAGAAGCCACTGGAGTGACTGAAGGTGAGGGCTCAGAGTTAGGTATTATTAAGATGGACTGGAGAAAACAAAAAGTGGTATTTCTTGTATACCGAGGTTACAGAATCAGACAAGCTCCAAAAATATCCATATAGTTAGGTCACTTTAGAGACACATTTTAAATGCTTTAAATGCTTATTTTGCACATATATTATACTTCAATTAAATGTTTATTTAAAAACACTATCATCCAAGTGAACCACATGAGGGCAGACGTGCTGTATAGAGCGTTACATAGAAACGTCTATTCCAGAAGTCAGAAAGCTGGCAAAGCCACAGATGCACGTGGGAGGAAAGAGGACAAACATTTGTTAAGCACCAGGTGCCACTTTGATTTCACATTCTCCCTCACAGAATCTGGCGTCAGACAGACCTGACGCAAGACACTCACCAGCTTTGTGACCAGGGGCAACATGCTACCTCAGTTTCCTCATCTTTAACATGGAAATAATAATTCCTCTTTGTCTTAGTCTGTTTTGTGTTGCTATAACAGAATACCTGAGGCTGGGTAATTTATCAAGAAAAGAGGCTTCTTCGGCTCGCCATTCCGGTGACTGGTAAGTCCAAAAGCACTCACCACATCTGCTTGGCTTCTGGTGAGGGCTTTTGGGCTGCTTTATAAAACGGCAGGGAAGTGGACAGGGAAGTGGATGTGTGAAAAGAGGGACCGAACAGGAGGAGGAAGCTCGCTTTATAATAACTCACGCTTGTGGGAGCTAATCCTAGAGCAAATAGTCCAGTGAGACGGCATTAATCTACTCATGAGCGATCTGCCCTCATGACCCAAACACCTCCCACTAGGCCCCACCTCCCTAGACTGCCACACTGGCAATGAGACTTCAAAATGAGTTTCGGTGGGGACACACCACATTCACACCATAGCACTACTTCCTGTGTTGTGTTATGATGAGAATGAAATGATACTATTTATGATAATTTCTTGGCAGCATTCCTGACACAAGCTAAGTACCCAATAAATGATAGTAATTGTTTTTAATATTTACAACAACCCAAATAGTCTAGCATGATAACCATTTTGTTGCTTAAAAAAATGAGGTTTGAAAAGGTAAGACAGCTAATAGGTAGCAACACTAGGATTCCAACACCGTCTGAGTGATCCCCCAGGCCTCTGCCCCAGAGCACCATGCTCCTGCTGTCCCTGGAAAAGTGGGCTCACACATGAAGGCCACATAAACCTTCACTTCCCTATGAAAGCCACCAGAACAGTCAACCTCAGCAAAGCGTACATTCTTCCTATGAGACAGCAGAAGGACAGTTATTTCAAGGTGACGGTGATTTGTTTCAGAGAAACCTTTGTTGCAGATGGAGAAGAAATTCAAGGTTCTCCTGCCAAGGAGGCTTTTGATAGAGCCCTTAGCACACCAGGTCTTGTTCTTTTCTGTGCTTTGCGAAGGGGAGTGGAGGAGAATCTTCAGCTAGATTAGATGGAGGTAATAATTCTGCAACACACAGGTGGGTGACAGACAGTCTCATTGTTTGACATCACAGACTTACAAGAACCTTTCCTCAAACCTCACCACGTCTCTGCTTGACAAAACTCAAGGCCCAGACATTGACCCAAGCCAGTTTATGAAACACACATCCCATTTCACATTCAAGCTGGGCAGACCAAGGGGCGACCATCTTTGGAGAGAAGGAATTCCTCCATGCTCCTGATACTCCAGAGTATCAGTCACCCATAACCAATGTATTGAAACTTAAAAGAAGATGCTGTTCATATGACACAAAAATACGCTGGAAAGAAATGTTCACACTCTACCTGTGATGTCAAGAATGGCTGAGACAGAACTATTATTTCACTCTGTTGTCTAGATTGCTATAAAGTACACTGGCTCAATGCTTCAGAAGATGCCTGTTGTCTCTGTTTTAAATAGATATACTTTTCTGAGACATTATGTAATGTGTCCTTCAGTTCCACATATTTGTTAGAGCTCAATAACAAAATACTAGGTGAAGATGGTGGTGGAAGTAAGAGTGGAGATGATGGGGATACGGGTGGCTGCGTCTGGAATCTGATTCTAGGAGCTGCCCTTTGGTTATGACTCAGAAAGGAAAATTCTCTGGACTATAAAAGAGAATTTGGCCACTATTGCTACTGTAGGAGCTGGAAAGTGTTTCCACATATCATTAGGGTAGGACGCTGATGCAATGAGTGTGACTGTTTTTGTAATTAGCTCGCTGTGATGTTTTTGCCATTAGCAATGATCAGCAATTCTGTCAACAGTTACCAATGTGGCTTCCTTAATCATTTTTTCAAGAGCACTCCAGAGAGAAAGCCCTGTCAACTGACACACCTGGAACTTGCCCTGGACTCCACTGTCACAGAGCCAACCACAGACGTGGCCTCAGGAC